TATTATTCGCAGTCCTGGCTGCCAATGTCATTCATGAAATGCTTTGGCTGTGCCTTGGGACTCTAACATACTGTCAGTGCTGATATCAAAGCCAGCTACTGTTTCTTGGAGTGAAATAGAACCCACAAAAACAAAAAAAAATTCTAATTTTTAAAGAGGAATTCAACAACTACATTTTTTCTGAGCTAAGACCATTTTATTTTAGAAAAACAGCTTTTCCACAGAGAAGCATAAATGAAGGCAATATCACAAGATTATGGTATCTCACAGTACTTTAGAGGTGGGATTTTTGCTTTCTTTTGTACCACCATCCCATGACCCTAAGGCCTCTTGCACATTGGGTGTTCATGAGATCCCAGCTTTTTGGTGCGCACAAAAGGCGCATGCGCACCGTCCAGCCCCACTGACAGTGGCCTGTTAAGCCCTATGAGAGGCTGAAAGCTTCTGTGGCTCAACAGAGCTGGATGGGGCACTGAGTGATACTAACATTTAGGGCAGTACGCACCCAGGACTCAATGCCTGGAATGCAAGCAGTCTGTGTTCTGGACATTAGTCCTGGAGTTTTCCTCTAGACCAGGGGTCTCCAAACTTGCTAAACAAAGGGCCAGGTTACTGTCCTTCAGACATTAGGAGGACTGGATTGTGGTTAGTAGGAGTAGTTACTTCCAGGGGCAGACTGACCATTTGGAAACTTGGGCACAGCCCGAGGGCCCGGGGTCAGTAGGGGGCCCCATGAGATGCCCCTGATACCTTTTTCATAGGCTTTTTTGCGTTTGGACAAGGACACGGGGCCCCATGATCCCTTATTGCCCGGGGGCCCCATGAGTTGTCAGTTCACCCCTGGTTACTTCATTTTTGGTATTATAGGAGGAATAGTTGGTATCATTGGAAAGAATAGTGCCCCATCATTGGTGTCAATGAAAGGAACAGTGCCCCGTCATTTGTATCAGTGGGAGGATTAGTGCCGCATCGTTTTTGTCAGTGAGAGGAATCATGCCTCACTGTTGATGTTAATGGGAGAAATAGTGCCCCATCATTAGTAGCAGTGGGAGGCATAGCACCCCATCATTGGTATCAGTGGGAGGAATAGTGCCCCATTGCTGGTATCTGTGGGAGAAATAGTGCCCCATCATTAGTAGCAGTGGGAGGCATACACCCCATCGTTGGTATCAGTGGGAGGAATAGTGCCCCAACTGCTGGTATCAGTGGGAGGAATAGTGCCCCAACATTGTTGTCAGTAGAAGGAATAGTGCCCCATTGTTGGTATCTGTGGGAGGAATTGTGCCCCAACATTAGTATCAGTGGGAGGAATAGTGCTCCAACATTGTTTTCTGTGGAAGGAATAGTGCCCCATTGCTGGTATCAGTGGGAGGAATTGTGCCCCAACATTGGTATCAGTGGGAGGAATAGTGCTCCAACATTGTTTTCTGTGGAAGGAATAGTGCCCCATTGCTGGTTTCAGAGGGAGGAATTGTGCCCCAACATCGGTATCAGTGGGAGGAATAGTGCCCCCTCATTGGTATCAGTGGGAGGAATAGTGCCCCATCATTGGTATCAGTGGGAGGAATAGTGCTCCATCATTGGTATCAGTGGGAGGAATAGTGCCCCATCATTGGTATCAGTGGGAGGAATAGTGCCCCATCATTGGTATCAGTGGGAGGAATAGTGCCCCATCATTGGTATCAGTGGGAGGAATAGTGCCCCATCATTGGTATCAGTGGGAGGAATAGTGCTCCAACATTGTTGTCAGTGGAAAGAATAGTGCCCCATCATTTGTATCAGTGGGAAGAATAATGCCCTGTTGGAGTCAATGGATGGAATGGTGCCCCAAGGGCCGGATAAAGGCAAGCAAAGGGCCGCATCTGGCCCCTGGGCCACAGTTTGGAGACCACGGCTCTAGACTCACAGGCTCATCACCATACAGTCAGTAAAGCTATAGCTTGCACTGATGAGGGTTAAGAAGCAACCCAACCTATAACTAGCCTTTGCAGCAAGGAGCACATGGAAGGGCAACTCACATCAGTAACAAACAAACATTTCCAGCTCACTTACCAGCTAGCCTGCAACAAAACCACATTGATTCTGTCTAACAATTAAAAAAAAAACAAGGGGTTTAGTCACACACATTTGCAAATATACGAGTAAGCTGCAGTGGCCACATCAAGGCTCCCCATTGTACTGCAGTCCTAACTCTATAATTTGAGAAACTCGTAAGTTGGAACACATATAGCAGTGGATAGATCAAGGGCAGGTTTGCCTGGAGGGAGCCCACTTCTCCATAAAGGTAGAGGGGCACACTGGACATCCAGCGAGGGCACGATGGCAGCTGAAGGTATCCAGTATGTCCCTGCATGTGCTCTGTGCTGCAAAGGCTAGTTATAGGTTGGGGTAGTTGTCATTTGTTTGTATAGTTGAATTGGTGTGGGGACGCACTGGATACCTTCAGCTGCCATTGTGCCCTTGCTGGGTGTCCAGTGCATCCCTGTACCTTTTAAGGAGGAGGGGTGAGCTCACTCCAGGCAAACCTGCCCTTAATCTATCCACTGCTATATGTGCTCCAATATACCGAAAAAGACCTGAAAATGGGGACTTTTGAGGCACAACATAGACATAAAAACATGATTTATTTTGTATCAAAGTCCAATGTATAAAACAACATTCTATTTCACACCAACAATACTAAAGCGTGTAGAAAATAAAAAGTTTGCAATATCAAGGAGCAGCAAATCTCTTCCCATGGGATCCAAATTCCTTGTAAACTTTAGGCTCATTCTTATCGGCTTGGGCTCAATGCGTTGCATGGACTTATCCACTTCTTCAGGAGCCATCACCTGGGGCGTCCCTAGGGTTGGTGTCACCCGGTGTGGTAACACTTGGTGACACCCTCTCTGATGATCCCCCAGTAGCAGTGGGGGGGTTCCACCAGCCATTTCACCCAAACACTGAACTGGTGAACTTTTTCTTCCTGCCCCTGTTATAATAAGTGTCCCAATCTAAAGGAAGGTTTGAGTTCACCAAATTTTTTACAAAAGGTAATGGGGGAGAGGGGTTGCTTTTTTCCAATACATGGTGATCGCCTTCCTGGCATAAAAGAGTAAAAGACATTCTTTCAGCTACAATAGGAGCCATGTCTTCCACCAGGCCCAACAAGCAGATTTCAAGAGTAAGAGTATGGAAGTCCATAGATCTCTGATGGGAAAAGGTATTTAGCAGTTTATATTTACTAAACTAATTGCACTTCCATGTTGTGTGTACTGTGGGAGACCAGATATAGTGAATGCTGGGTCCTGGGTTTAGTAACACTTTTAACTGCAGGCAACTACCCCCCCCCCACACACACACACACACCACAAGGGTTAAATACGTGTTAGGTAGCTGAAGAAGCTGCACTACTTACCTTATCCCTGTTCTCCTCCTCCCCTCCTCTCCTTCCAGTGCTTTGGTCTGTGTTCCATTGGTATTGTCATGTACAATGCAAGGCAAGGAGTACGACTGGCAGGTAGCGCCGAAGAGAGGAGACTTTACAGGACAGGTAGCACTGGAGAGATCCCACCTGAGCAAAGGAATTAAGTAAGTATTTATAATGGCACGCCTAGAATAAATGAATAAAAAAAAGCCTTGCAGTGTGGATAGAGGTCCATTGCATGGGTAAATTTTGTCAAATTCTGGAACTTGGCTCTAATTATAACTGTAGCACCCTCCAAGTCAGCTAGGGGGAGCTATACTCCAATTGTTAGCAAGGAGGGCTGAGTAGCAGCCTGGGTGTGATATCTAGCAGGGGTCAAATTGTGGTCAGATCAGAGAGGTTCTGCAGACCAGCCCTCTGAAATTTTCCCCTGCTCTAGAACTTTGGAGAAGGTCTAGAAGCAGTGTGTGGATCTGTAGTCTTAGAGGATCCTAGCCAATCCCCAACAGAAGGCTTGGCAAGGGGCAAGGACAACCTTTAAGAATAACTGAGCCTGCTCAGCTACAGGAGAGTTTGGGTGGAAGATAGAGAAGGATGTATGGCTGGAAGGCAGGAGCCTGGGCGGTTGACCAGATGAAGAGGGGCTCACCACCAGGTGGGGATCATGGAAGGAGGAAAGCTCAGAACTTCACCAGCCCCTAGATAAAGGACCACCTGTGTAACAGGGAAGGAGCAGTCCAGCTAGAAGGCCTGGTAGCAGCCACCGACCCACCAGCTGCACAGGAGAATGACTGAGGGAGTAGACCTGCACCCCCTGGGCCAGAAAGGGGAAGGAGGCACTCTAGTGGGAATTTGTATTAGCCTGCCACCCAGGACTGTTTCACCAGTTATTGTATGTGGCAGACACCTTATCCCTTGCTCAGGGATTCCTTCAGACAGCTGGGTAAAGAAGAGGATTTATCTGTAATCTGGTGTGGTACTACAGGAGATGCTGGCTAGCTCTCCAAAAGTGACAGTTTGCTGTGACCACTGTATATAGTTCATGAAGTTGTCCCCGTACACCCCTTACCCTATCCAAGTCAAAATCCCCCTAATAAACATCAAAACAAGCTCAATGACTGGTTACTAACTCCTGGATGCAAGTCTGTGAAAAATGCAGGTTGCCTGGTTGTGCAGGGACCCAAATACTTTGCAACGCCTAAGGGGGTAGGGCTACATAACATTAAAGTGGTTCTAAGGACAATTTTTTTTTAAATAAAAAAGAGGTTATACTTACCTGCCCTGTGGAACGATATTGCACAAGACCAGTCTTTTACCTCTCCTTTGGTGGTCCTCCTTGACACTCTCCCTTGCTTTTTACCAGTACCCCCATAGCAAGCTGTGTGCTTTGGGGGCACCGGGGTGTGGGCGCGCTCCCAAGCCAGGCTGCATGCCTATATAGAAACACAGCCTGGCTCGGCCATTAATTTTTTAGGTTTATTTTTTACCTCAATGCAGGGAATACATTAAGATAAAAAAAAAATCTAGACTTTAGAACCACTAGAACACTAATCATGTAATAACAGCAAAGGCAACTCCTCCACCTTAGCACTCACTGTCAGCAAGCAGATTAGAAGTAGAAGTCTCAGTATTTACTGTATAGGGAAGAAGCTGGTTAATATCTGCAATAAAAAGTGCTCATCCTAGTATTCATAGTATTGTTTTTTCCACCAAAACTGAGATGTTCCTATCAGGGGTGGACTGACAACTCATGGGGCCCCCGGGCAATAGGGGATCATGGGGCCCCTGTGTCCTTGCCCAAACTCAAAAAACCTATGTTAAAAGGTACCAGGGGCATCTCATGGGGCCCCCTACTGACCCTGGGCCCTTGGGCAGTGCCCGAGTTTCCAAATGGTCAGTCTGCCCCTGGTTCCTATATTGTTGGCCCTCTGGCACCCCTCATTGTTCTGCCCTAGCCAATTGCTCCAACTGTAAGAAAATGTTCTCATCCCATTATGAAGAGGACAAAGAGAATTCTCATTTTATGCCACCAATGTGATCTCTCGTAAACTAAGCTTCCAAGATTGATTTCAGCTTTTGTAACATCGATGTACGTTGTTGTGATCAATGTTACATAATTATCTAGTTAGCGAGGCCAAGAAAAGACTCAGCATCATCAAATCCAACCTTTCATAAAGTCTGGAAGAATTCAGAGAAGCAAAAGAAATGAATTTGATGCTAATCCAATGAGCAACACTAGGTAGGATCCTTCCAAGAATGGCAAAGCCATCCAAGGGGCAGTTAAGGTACAAAGAACTTTATCTGTTGACTAAGAATAGTAATTTCACAGTGTATATAAGGTTACATTTGTTTTATTAGTTCTGGATGGAGTGCAGAAGAGTTAGAACCTCTTTCAGGTTTCTATTACCTTCTGTGTCTCTGTTCGGTTACTTGCAATTATATGCAGTTGGCTAAACTATAGATGTCAAAGTAGAGGAGGACGGAGGTGATTCCTCTATATAGCCCTTTAGTTATTACTAGAGGGATCACCATCAGGAAGAAGGAGGTCCTGATTCCTCTATATAGACCTTTAATTATCACTAGAGGGATAGCCATCAGGAAGAAGGAGGTGCTGATTCCTCTATATAGATCTTTTTATATCACTAGAGGGATTCCTGGTCACCGGCAGGAGGAAGGAGGTCCTGATTCCTCTATATAGACCTTTAATTATCACTAGAGGGATAGCTATCAGGAGGGAGGAGATCCCGATTCCTCTATATAGATCTTTATATCACTAGAGGGTTCACTAGCAGAAGGAAGGAGGTCCTGATTCCTCTATATAGATCTTTATATCACCAGAGGGATCACCACCAGGAGGAAGGAGGTCCTGATTCCTCTGTATAGATCTTTATATCACTAGAGTGGTCACCAGCAGGAGGAAGGAGGTCTTGATTCCTCTATATACATATTTATATCACCAGAGGGATCACCATCATGAGGAAGGAGTGTGCAGTGTGTGCCTCTCCATTTTTCCTCTATACTCGGGGTCCTTGGTTTCCAAATGAGATGCAAAAGTTGCTCTCATCAGAAAAGAGGACGTTGGACCACTGAGCAACAGACCAGGTCTGTTTTTCTTTAGCCCAGGTAAGACGTTTTTAACGTTGTTTGTTGCTCAGGAGCGGCTTGACAAGAGGAATACGACATTTGAAGCCCATGTCCAGGATCCGTCTGTGTGTGGTGGCTCGTGATGCACTGACTCCAGCCTCAGTCCACTCCTTGTGAAAGTCCCCAACACTTTTGAATGGCCTTTTCCTGACAATCCTCTCCAGTCTGCGGTCATCCCTGCTGCTTGTGCACCTTTTTCTTCCACACTTTTCCCTTCCAAATAACTTTCTATTAATGTGCTTTGATACAGCACTTTGGGAACATCCAACTTCTTTTGCAATTACCTTTTGAGGCTTTCCCTCCTTATGGAAGGTGTCATGATGGTTTTCTGCACAACTGTCAGGTCAGCAGTCTTTCCCATGATTGTGATTCCTACTGAACCAGACTGAGAGACCATTTAAAGGCTCAGGAACCCTTTGCAGGTGTTATGGCTTAATTAGCTGATTAGAGTGGGACACTTTGAGAATATTCCACCTTTTCACAATATTTTCATTTTCTGAGATTGTGGATTTGGGGTTTTCATGAGCTGTAAGCTATAATCATCACAATTATGACAAATCACGGCTTGAACTATCTTGCTTTGCATGTAATGAGTCTATCTCATATATTAGTTTCACCTTTTAAGTTGCATTACTGAAATAAATGAACTTTTGCACGATATTCTAAATTTTCGAGTTTCACCTGTAGATCTTTGTATCACTAGAGGGGTCACCAGCAAGAGGAAGGAGGTCCTGATTCCCCTGTATAGATCTTTATATCACTATAAGGATCACCGGCAGTAGGGAGGAGGTCCTGATTCACTAGAGGGGTCCCCTATATAGATCTTTATATCACTAGAAGGGTCACCAGCAGGAGGAAGGAGGTCCTGATTCCTCTATATAGATCTTTATATCACTAGAGGGGTCACCAGCAGGAGGAAGGAGGTCCTGATTCCTCTATATAGATCTTTATATCACTAGAGGGGTCACCAGCAGGAGGAAGGAGGTCCTGATTCCTCTATATAGATCTTTATATCACTAGAGGGGTCACCACCAGGAGGAAGGAGGTCCTGATTCCTCTATACAGATCTTTATATCACTAGAGGGGTCACCAGCAGGAGGAAGGAGGTCCTGATTCCTCTATATAGATTTTTATATCACCAGAGGTTACACCACCAGGAGGAAGGAAGTTTTGATTCCCCTATATATACTTTAAGCTATAAACTCCTAAAATACATGCTTTGTAGAAGATGTTGCTGTTACTTCCTGAAAAACATTCATGTTCTTAGGTTTGAATGCACCCATGGTAGTCACTACCTTCAATGTCACCCCCCCCCCCCCCAATGTCACCCCCCGCCCTGCTGCTATTCTCTCCAGGGTGCAATGTGTGAATGTATCCGCTGGAGAAACAATTGTTCCTGATGGTGAACGCAGGTGTTATTGTTGACCGATGCACCTCGCGCTCCTTGTAGACGGAAAATTGTCATTGAGCGCTGAAAGCTGCAATTACCACGGAGGGTGACTGTGACCAGAAGACGTTTCGTGCCCATAAACTGTTAATCATACAGGCAGCAGAGAGCGGAGGTGATAGTGCGAACATGTACCCATCCTTGATGAGAAACACTAAGGAGAACTGGTCACTGGACATATATATGTTCCTGAACATACAACCTGGAATTATAACTGTGCTAACGTATGAGAGATGTACAATGCTTGTAAAAAGTATTCATACCCCTTGAAAGTTTCTACATTTTGTCATGTTACAAGCAAAAACATAAATGTATTTTATTGGGATTTTATGTGATAGACCAACACAAAGTGGCACATAATTGTGAAGTGGAAGGAAAATGATAAATGGTTTTCAAATTATTTTACAAGTCAATATCTGAAAAGTGTGACGTGCATTTGTATTCAGCCCCCCCGGAGTCATTACTTTGTAGGACCCCTTTTCGCTGCAATTGCAGCTGCAAGTCTTTTTGGGGATGTCTCTACCAGCTTTGCACATCTAGAGAGGGACATTTCTGCCCATTCTTCTTTGTAGAATAGCTCAAGCTCTGTCTGATTGGATGGAGAGCAGTGAACAGCAGTTTTCAAGTCTTGCCACAGATTCTCAGTTGGATTTAGGTCTGGACTGTGACTGGGCCATTCTAACACATGAATATACTTTGATCTAAACCATTCCATTGTAGCTCTGGCTGGATGTTTTAGGTCGTTGTCCTGCTGGAAGGTGAACCTCCACCACAATCTCAAGTCTTTTGCAGACTCTAACAGGTTTTCTGCTAAGATTGCCCTGTATTCGGCTCCATCCATCTTCCCATCAACTCTGACCAGCTTCCCTGTCTTTGCTGAAGAAAAGCATCCCCACAACATGATACTGCCACCACCATGTTTCACGGTGGGGATGGTGTGTTCAGGGTGATGTGCAGTGTTAGTTTTCCGCCACACATTGCGTTTTGCTTTTAGGCCAAAAGGTTAAATTTTGGTCTCATCTGACCAGAGCTCCTTCTTCCACATGTTTGCTGTGTCCCCAACATGGCTTCTTGCAAACTGCCAACAGAACTTCTTATGGCTTTCTTTCAACAATGGCTTCTTACCACTCTTCCATAAAGGCCAGATTTGTGTAGCGCACGACTAATAGTTGTCCTGTGGACAGATTCTCCCACCTGAGCTGTGGATCTCTGCAGCTCCTCCAGAGTTATCATGGGCCTCTTGGCTGCTTCTCTGATTAATGCTCTCCTTGCCCAGCCTGTCAGTTTAGGTGAATGGCCATGTCTTGGTAGGTATGCAGTTGTGCCATACTCTTTCTATTTTCAGATGATGGATTGAACAGTGCTCCGTGAGATGTTCAAAGCTTGGGATATTTTTTATAACCTTACCCTGCTTGAAATGTCTCCACAACTTTATCCTTGACCTGTCTGGTGTGTTCCTTGGCCTTCATGATGCTGTTTGTTCACTAATGTTCTCTTACAAATCACTGGGGGCTTCACAGAACAGCTGTATTTATACTGAGATTAACCACTAGCCTACAGGGCACTTCTACCCCCTTCCTGCCCAGGCCAATTTTCAGCTTTCAGCGCTGTCGCACTTTGAATGACAATTGCGCAGTCATGTAACACTGTACCCATATGAAATTTTTATAATTTTTTTGAGACAGATAGAGCTTTCTATTGGTAGTATTTAATCACCTCTGGGTTTTTTATTTTTTGCTAAACAAACCAAAAACAACTGAAAATTTTGAAAAAAAAATAGTTTTTCTTAGTTTTTGTTTTAAAATTTTGTAAATAAGTGATTTTTCTCCTTCACTGATGTGCACTAATGAGGCTGCAGTGATGGGCACTGATAGGTTTTACTGATGAGGAGACACTGGTAGGTGGCACTGATGGGCATTGACAGGTATCACTTATGGGCACTGAAAGGCAGCACTCATATATGGCACTGATAGGTGGCACTGATAAGTGTCACTGACTGGCACTGATAGGCGGCACTGACTGTCACTGTTAGGTGGCACTGACTGGCACTGTTAGGCGGCACTGATAGGCAGCACTGACAGGCACTGATAGATGGCACTGATGCACACTGCTAGGCGGCACTGACTGGCACTGATAGGTGGCAC